TCTGTGATACAGGATCATTTGATGATAACCAGTGATGACTATGTTTGTAGTTAGAGTATAAAATCCACTTTTCAAAAGTGATCAAAATTTAATCTAACAAGGGGACCTTACAGTCTCAGAAATTCAGTTCAGGATGAGACTTTACAGGCTAATTAATAGTATACCTCAAGGGTGTCCACTCAGAAGAATTGTAAAACGCACTAGCTAGAAGATTCTGAGAAAAAAGGCTCTAAAGTTTTAAGCGCAGTTCATATACTGATCGATTTTACACTATGGCAGCACAGCGAAATGGCTGCATCTGTAGCAAACTTGCTTGCAACGCGGGCGATCTAGGTTTGATCCTACTTTTGGCAAACTTTTTTTTTTTTTATTGTCTTAAAAATTGTAAGAACTTTTAAATAAAGTTAATGACCTAAAAATATTATCAATTAAATCATAAATAATTTTATTTTATTTATGAAATGACTGTTACAGCTAATTTAAATGTGAATTAAAGATAATATTTTATTTTTAAAAAGTTGAATAATTTCAAATGCATTTTTGTCCCATAACTGTCAACTTTCACACCTGGGAGCTAATCATTCTGTGAGTTTTCACAAGTCAGCAGCAAAAGTGACACTTTCACATAACTTTGGGACATATGGTCTTAAGTTCATTGGTTGAAGTTAACAAGGAATTGAAAAATTCTTCAAATTTAAAATGAATATTTTTAATCTCTCCACAGCTTATAATATCTTAAAATTTGTAATAACTTTTTAATGACAAAAGTAATTAAAGTTTTAATTTACCTCCATTAAAAATGCATTTGAAAGTATTCAACTTTTTAAAAATAAAATATCTTTAATTCACATTTTAATTAGCTGTAACAGTCATTTCATAAATAAAATAAAATTATTCATGATTTAATTGATAATATTTTTAGGCCATTAATTAATTAATTTAACTTTATTTAAAAGTAGTTACAATTTTTAAGACAATTAAAAAAAAAGTTCGCCGAAGGTAGGTTAGAACCTAGATTGCCCGTGTTGCAAGCGAGTTCATTACAGACTTGGCCATTTCACTGTGCTACCATACTGTAAAATCAATCAGTATATAAGCTGCGCTTAAAACGTTAGAGCTTTTTTTCTCGGAATCTTCTAGCTAGTGCACTTTACAATCCTTCTGGGTGGACACCCTTGAGATATACTACTAACCTGCAAAGTCTTATCCAAAACTGAATTTTCTAGATCGTAAAGTCCCCTTGTAAGAAATTTTTATATTTCAAATGTGAAAGAAGCAATGTACAAATGATGAGATGGTGTAATTTGTTCTCAGTGTTTAATGCATGTGTGAGATCCGGAATTTTAGTAACGAAAATCACGCTCTTTAATTAACTAAAATTTTAATTAATTCGCTTTCATTTATGTAACAAATTAGAAAAAACCGATCTTAGCCAGGAATGTGTAAACCTTTCTGTCAGAACTACCAACATCTATTGTTCTCTGCAGAACTTGCAGCTCATCTTGCAGAAAAGTTTATAGTTAACATCCAACTTTCGTCATTTGTTTTAGGTCCCTAGGACACCTATAACCTTTAGCTTATGAACATCCGATCACGTGGTGGAAATTCCCCGCAAAAAGCTATAAAAGACAGTTCTTACTCGGGGGAGTCTCTTAACGAATGCTGGACCAATGACATCGCGCCGATTCTCCGAACCCGCCGAATTCCGATCTAGGATCATCGATAACACATCATCGCCAAAGTCGCGAACTTTTTATATTTGTGCACACTGGATTAAAGACATCGTTTATTGGACAATTAAATACCTACACGGACTTACTCGTCACGGAACCTACAAAGAGGTATGAAAAGCGGGAAAACTCTCTCTCTCGAGATATTAGGCGGTTTAGGACCGAGCTTTGTGTAATCTTTTTGTCCATTTGGCTTATTTTAATAAATTGTTGTTATATTTGTTCTAAAAGGGTAGACTCCTTTACTTGATCACGCCCTTCACCTTATCGTCAACCCCAAAATTCTCTCCCTTCACTTGCCTGACTTGTCATCCTGACTAGTGACGCAAACTGGGAGACCTCTGACCTTCCCTTGGTGTCACGAAAGAGGGGTTTTGAATCAAAACTCCCCTGCAGTTTGCATACATGAGGAACCCATTTATTTAATTTCATTTCTTTTCTAATTTATGTAAACAAAGTCTGATGGTTTCATCACTTACTTGAAGCTCTTCAGCATTCATCTGATGTGTTAAGTGTAAATTTGTCTCTGTCATTGTTTTTAATTTGTGTATATCTAAAGTTAATGGTCTTCCTGGCCTAGCTTTATATTCTAATGACTTATTTCCTAAAGCAAACTTTTTAAACCATCTTTGAGCAGTTCTTGATGTTACTGCATCTTTCCCAAATGCAGTACAGATTTTTCTAGGAGCCTCTGCACCATTAGTTCCAAGTTTAAATCCATAAAGCAAATATGCAGAAATAACATTATTTGGCACAGATATTTTGAAAGGTTGAAATATTTTTATAAATTTATGTTAATAGCCCAGAAATCAACTAATAAATGAATAAACTGTAAATTTTGTTATGCAGTTCACAGACAAAAATGCTTAGTCATTGGGCTGCAATTTCAAAAAATTGTAGATCTATAAATTTCCACTGTCTTTCCTTAACATGTTGACTGCTATCCGATGTGCCAGTGGTCATAGTAATTAGGGCCGTTCAGAGCCATACGACTGCTGGCGATTGGACCAACTTTATAGATGTGCACAAGAGGCCACCACTAAAATGTAAAATAATGTTTTACAAAGCCTGGATAATTTAACTTTGAGGGAAACTATTGGGTTGTTCGGAAAGTAAGTTCGTTTTTTTCCATGGAAAAAAAATATTTTTTCCATGTATTTTTTCCATTTTTTCCAAATATTCTAATATTTTTATAATAAATAAATATTTTATTGAATTATATATTGACCATTTTGGTCAAATACCTGTTGTCATCATTTCTGGTAGTAGCATGATTTCATATTCATAAAAGTTTTGATTGTTGCTTACAAAAAACTGATCCAAGTGATTTTTGACATTGTCATTTCAAGTAAATTTCTTACAGTTAAAAAAAATATATATAGACCGGAACAAGTAATAATCTGAGTGTGCTTGATCTGGAATATGGTAGGTGTATGTCCCATCTAAGTTATAAGTTTCTGACAAGTTACCAAACTTGTGTGAAATTTGACATTATCATGGTAAAACACTACACTGGTCACTGCTCGTTTCCTTCGAATAACATCCGACGCATTCTAGTCTATCACTATATTTATCACTTCGAATTTTAACAGAAAACATTTCAAATTACGAGAAATCTTTTGAACTGTTTTGTTGATCAATTGTGGCTGCCTTTTCTGTTTGATGATATTACTCAATTTGTTTACTCGATGGCAGTACACTTTCGAATCAATTGTTAAATTGTCTGGTAAAAGCTCCAAAAAAAAATTTCCTTAAAATCTCACCAAAGAGCATCTCTCTTTAAGAACATGTGGAACCCAAATATCAAGCTTTGAAACAAAACCAATTTGTTTCAAATAATCATAAACAGTTCAGTTTGACAAATTTAATCTCTTAGTGATTTCACGTGTTGTTATTCGGCAGTTTGCTTCAACCAGTATGTTTATTTTGTTTTCATTGGCTTCAACTGGCCATCCAGAATGTGGTGCATCTTCAATATTAAAATTGCCAGAACGAAATTTTTTAAACCAGTTTTGGCACTGTCGTTCTGTCAATACATTTTCTCCATACACATCACACAATTTTTTCTCGCTTGAACAGCATTCTTACCTTTTCAGTAATAAAAAAGCAAAATATGCCGAAAATGCTGCTTCTGATCTTTCATATTTGATAGGACACAAAAAATAAACAATTGCACAAAATCAAACAAAATTTTTTACAAATAAGCCTTAAAATGCTAGCTTTCAAAATATATAATGATAATACAGTTTAGAATGAAAATGGTGGGAAAATACAACTAATCTGTCTAGTGGTAAAAAAAAAACAAAATTACTTTCCGAACAACCCAATACATTGGTTATAGTGACATCTGGCAGTCGTATGGCTGTGCACTGCCCTAACCAGCACGACCGCTGGCACGTCAGATAGAGGTCAATGTGTTAATTTTGAGAATGGAGTTTTCTTAATCTCAAAAATGGAGTTAGATAGGTAAAATCTGAGACCAGATATGGAAACCTTAGGGCCTGATTAACTATATGTGAGCTGATGCAAATTGGAAGTCATGTAATTTCAGTTCAAAACTTTTCTCCTGAAAACAGTTAATAGATGATTGGCATGACTCTATTGTTAAAAGTATGATATACAGGGGCAATCTACTAATTTGAGATGGAGAACATACATTTTAAATTAAATTATTTAATTAAAAACATGATTAATAATTGCTTGTTATGCATATAAATGATTATTCCAATTATGATTTATTTGAAAACAACATTATTTATTTGGTTACCTGATATATTACAATACAAAAAACAAAACAAGATAAATTATAATGACAGCTTTAAAAGATACATAGAGTATAATTACCTTAAATAATGGATCCAAAATATCTATATTTTAGTGTTCAGACCTATTTCAGGCATTGAAGATGAAATAAATATCCTTAGAGCTAATGCAAGAGCCCTTCAAGATGTGTTTGTAAATTTGTGCAGATTCTGCTGATCTTGCAAACCTGGGTTTGGGAGTTGGTATATGTTTAAACATATTTCTTTTGCTGTTAAAATTTTTCATGGTGTTCATCAGTACTTTGTGTAACAATTTGATATGACTTAATATTTGTAAATTAATAAATGTTTATGTTTAAAGGCAAAAAGTATATACGTATTTAGTTTATTATTTTATCTGTTTATTGTTTATTTATTTACATAACTGAACAATCTTTCAATAAATTGTGTTTTATTTTAAAATATCAATATTTTATTTACTGTTTAAACTAAAGTACTCTATTTTCAGGAAAACAGATTTTATTATAATAACAAACTATTTATGAGAAGTTACATGATGAAATGTTTAACTATATAGATGAGTTTCATCTAGAATTTCAGAAAAAGGTGAATAGTTTTATTTCAGAGTTTTTAACTTACCTAAAATACTCTTCATCAGCATAAATTTTAAATTGAAATAAAAGAGAATTTTTCATTTTGAATTAATATATACATAATACAATTGGTTGATAAACTGTGATATTAGGGAATTTTATTAATATGGCAAATTGTATTTATTTTTGTTTATTACATGATTTTTTTCCCTTTAATCTTTATTTATTATCAGTTTAAAGAATCAAATTTTTCTGAAAAATTTTTATTTATCTATATATTTAAAATGAAGTTTACTTTTTAATAAATGGTTAAATAATAATAAGTTTTTTTGAAGTTTATTCATCCAAATATAAGCAGTGAGATGGTCGGATGGCCTCATGGTCAAGGTGGTAGCCTACCACTCTGGGGGACCTTGGATCAAATCTGGAGGAGTTGAAAAATCCCCAGGAATTTTTCGGGAGTGGTTCGTCCAGATATGTCGGGCCCTGTCCCTCACCACCCAGCTGCCCCATTGTGGGCCTGGCTGAACCTATAATGGACTTTCTAAAAGAGGCCCTCTTAGTGCCTGCAGGGCAGAAAGAATTAAAAAAAAAAATCTAAGCAGTGAATAGTATTTATCTGTTTAAAAATCAAATTTATTTAATTTCAAAAATATTGATTTTCAAAATTTCTACTCATGACATAGATCACTAATTTGTTACTTTTACATAAAAATCATGAAACTGAAGCATCTTATATAACCTTATTTTTTATTTCAGTTTTATTAACTTATCTTTTTTGTAAAAATGTTAACTAATAAAGAATTTGTTCTAATTCCATTATCATTTTTTCATTTATACTATATAATTAGAAAAGTTTTGATATAAAATAAGGATGTTTTTGATTTTTTTAATATTTAAATTAAAATAATATTTAAACTGCATTATAGTTAATAGAATATAAGAATGTTTTGAAGTAAAAAAAATGAGAAAAAAATGTTTGAAATAATTAAGAAAATAAAAAATATTCTGAATTTTTTTACATATTTATTTTATTTATAGCATTATTTTTTGAATATTATTTTCATTATACTAATGTAAATATTATATTTTAGTTTTCAGAATATTTAACTTAATAATAGAGATATATAATTTTGTGAGATCTGATATTAATGAAATGTTTTATGCTAAAAATTGAGCTGATTATTTGTATCAGTAATTTCCACTATCACAATACAAATAAGTTAATCTAACATAAATAAACAAAAAACTGTTTTTTTTTTTTTCAAATTCAATAAATATAAAATCACTTTATTAGATGGAAGTTATTTCAGTACTACTAAGTTTGGAGACTCCTATTATTTTGCTGTAATAAAGCAGTGTTTTATATTTATTGAATTATAATTTAAGTAAATTTTGTAAATTACAGATATGATGATAATTTAATCATGAATTATACGACTAAAAATATTTTTTTTGTAATTTTGTATTTATATTGTTAAATTTATGTAAACATACAATACAGTTTTTTTTGGTCATACTTCTTGATATAAATAGTTACAATTAAATACAATTAGAATGATAAATTTTTCTGAAAAGAAAAAGATGATTATATAAGATTGACTAATGATAATTTATGGGAAATCAGATTGCCTTAATTTGTCAATAATTTTAATGTTAAGAAAACAGAAATACATTGAAAAATATTACTTCAAAAGTAAATAAAAACTAGAGTATTAGGGAGTATGAAAATTTTAATTTATAAACATACATTAAATAAAAAAACTTTTTATTCTCAAATATTATAAATATTTACTTTAAAAAATTTTGTACTTATACTTCCAAAGACTGAAAATACTTCTCAAAACATTTAAATAATTAAAATTACTATTAAAATTTTGAATTTAGAAATTTGATTTAGAAAATTCAAATTATTTGAAGTATAAGAAAGATTTGTTAACTAGGCATAAATTTTCAAGAGATAGCTAATCACCAAACATATGCCGTAAATCCATCGGGCTAGTTTTTTTAAGGCTAATTACTAAATAAATTACGTAATTAATTTGGCACTAGAGGTAAGCGTTAGGCGCCATCTCTTATTAATATTAATAATTATAAATAAATTAATTAATTTAAATAATTTAGAACCGCTGGGAGAAAAAATCGGCCCGGAGCGGGACTCGAACCCACAACTCCTGCTTACCGTGCAGATGCGTTGCCAGTTACGCTATCCGGACCTCCGATCCGATCTCCTCTTCCAGCGTATAACTATGTAACCATCGACGGTTATACGCTGGAAGAGGAGATAGNAATCCACATTACTATGCTGGATTTGAGTAATTCACTTAACTATTCATGGAGAATTTGATGTTATACATTTAGGGGGTTGGTACTTTCCCCCACCCAGGTGCTTTGGTGCTAGTATAGCAAGCACTAAAGTGCACGACTATATGCAGAGCATTAGTCAAAGCGAGCAATAGCAATCCTTGATGATATGGAGCGTGGACGATAGGCAGTATATTGATACATGTTAAAAACTGATGTTTGGGGGTGAATATCTTGCAACAGGTCATATGTACAAGTATGTTTTCTTTGACATTTTTGCTTGTATAGGGGGCTCAACAGTTCTGGAATGTGAAATCCCTCATTCAGAGCTTGAATCTTACCTGGTGCTGCACATATCGACTGGTGTCCAATTAACAGAAAAGTACTTAATAAAATATCATAATAGATGTCACATTCAGTTTTAAATGTTGTCAGGAAAGTTAAGCAACTCGTTGTTATTTTACATATATATATAGAAAGCTCAAATTATACTAATAATCATATCCAGATTAACTATTAAACTAGAACTTGGCTAATTATACAGATAAAACATAATGGACTATTCTGTTGTCATTTATTAAATTTAATAATTTGAAATTAATTAATTAATTAACTATTCTGGAAGTTGGTCCTATTCTGGTTGATCCAGAGTGGGACTCAAACCCAAAATTTGTGTTTACCATGACAATTATGCTATTTGGACTTCAGTCAGTTCAGACAATTTAATATATGATGGTTGTATAACCATCTTACATAGTCCAAATTACTCAATAAAGTTTCTAATTAAAATTATGTTTTTGTTATATTAAATTTTTAATTGATAGCATTAAAAATTACTTAACAACAAATATTTAAAAGTTGTTTAATAGCATATCTTGGATATTTGTAATCTATTGAAATAAAGATAAAATTATAGAAAAAATAATATAAATTTATTTCTTAAAATGTTCTTTTAAATGGCTTTTAGTTTTGGTTTTCTGATGGAAGACAGATTCACACATAGTAATTCATTAGAGTAATTTTTAAGTGTTACACATTACTATCCATTTGCAACAATTAGCAAGTAAATAACACTTTACCTGTTTTAATAACATTCAGATGATAAAAATTTGAATTTGTATTTTGGAATATCTTTATCCAAACTACTGTTGTGGCATTCCATTACATATTCTACTGGAAGAAGGTCATTAAAAATATCTGAAAACATTTTGGTTATTAAATTTTTGCTGTTTGTTCAAGGTTATTTGTATGTATTTATTAAATAACAATTTGTTCATGACTGCATGTGAAGGGTGTACTGAGAGAGAAAGAGATGATCTCTGTTTAATTGAATAAAGGCAAAAAATATACTGAATAAGCTTACAGGTCATTCTTTCCATTATAAACAAACCTGCATTTAATACATTTAAAAAAAAACTTTCCAGGAAAAATATAATATTTAGCTAAATGTCAACATTATAAAAACTAAAATCTGTGAATTTTATAATTATTTATGTAGTGCCATGCAATTTTAAGGCAAATTTGAAAATTATATATAACAAAAAATAAGTATAGAAAACCTAGATAAATTAGGCATGAAATAGAAGAAACAAAATGTTACAAAAAGACAAATATTTATTGGTTTAAACATTTTCTAATATAATTATGTCAAAATGTTTTCATATTATCTCTGAAGTAGATCTTTTAGCTTAATTTTCCCAAATTAATAATAAATAATGTACTTATTACTTTCCCAGCTATATTATATATAACAGAAGGAAAATATTGCAATGGGACAAGAAATGACTCCCTCTGCAGATTTAAAAATTTTTGGAACCAGGGGACCTTGAAATGTCAAGAAATGTAAAAAAATTTAGGAGTAATTTCTGTATGTATGGATAATAGTGTGTGTGTGTGGGAGGGCATGATTTTGTTTAATCTCTTTGAAGCTTAATAACTCTTGTGCTTTTTGTTGAAAATTTTTGAAATTTTGCAGGAAGGTTTGTTTGTTAGGGGAATTGATGCTATTAAATTTTGGCAGTTAATTAAATTAAAGGTTGAGGGGTGGGAGATAAAGAAAGTCATGTGTATCTCCAGACTTAATAATGATTTTACTTGTTATTAGCATTTACAGTTTTTTATAAAACCCATCCCTGACATCAAAATTAAGCTTTTTGCAATTTTATAATAATTAAAAATATAAAAAGTTTGACTATGCTGGATTTGAGTAATCCACATGACTATGCTGGATTTGAGTAATTCACTTAACTATTCATGGAGAATTTGATGTTATACATTTAGGGGGTTGGTACTTTCCCCCACCCAGGTGCTTTGGTGCTAGTATAGCAAGCACTAAAGTGCACGACTATATGCAGAGCATTAGTCAAAGCGAGCAATAGCAATCCTTGATGATATGGAGCGTGGACGATAGGCAGTATATTGATACATGTTAAAAACTGATGTTTGGGGGTGAATATCTTGCAACAGGTCATATGTACAAGTATGTTTTCTTTGACATTTTTGCTTGTATAGGGGGCTCAACAGTTCTGGAATGTGAAATCCCTCATTCAGAGCTTGAATCTTACCTGGTGCTGCACATATCGACTGGTGTCCAATTAACAGAAAAGTACTTAATAAAATATCATAATAGATGTCACATTCAGTTTTAAATGTTGTCAGGAAAGTTAAGCAACTCGTTGTTATTTTACATATATATATAGAAAGCTCAAA